GACACCTCATATTTGTATAAGCTATATTATTATGCGATTGTGTTACATCGTCTGTAGTTTTAAAATATTTCCTTACGAAGTCATCAAGTGGAAGCTTATGTAGCCACATATCGTCATACATATTATTTAACACTTGTCTGTTCTCATTTGCTTTAGGGTCGTCTTTAGCACCTAATCTTTTACATACTGTTAATAAAATATTATATTTAAATATCTGATTTATACACTCATCTGCATATTCATCTGGTTTTCGGGTATTAGTTAAGTCTTCTATGGGCGGTAACTGTTTCGTATCACCAGCCCCTATAATTATTTTATTAGGATTTTGATTCACAAACTGTCTAATTCTATTAAGCATGTGCAAGCCGTTCATAAAAATCTCATCAAAAACCACCACATTGTAGTCACTGTGGTCAAACTCTGGCAATTTCTCCCCGTCGCCCACAGGTACTGAAAAAAACTTATTGGTAGTCACTGCGTCATCGTCTATGTTTTGAGATAAGCTATTTTGGGGCACTACAAACAAAGTATTGTATCCTAATTTACTAAAATGTTTGGCTATATGACTTTTACCTCCTCCAGCGTATTTACTTCTGATCATCAAGGGATTATGTTTTAGTATATCCTTTGCTATAGCCTCTGTGTCCCACTCATCTTTTACATGTCTGGTCTCATTTTTGTATACTGGTATGGGCGCTAATTCATTGGGCTTTTGTTCTAATTTACCCCTTGGCTCTAAAAGTTGTTTGCCCTTCTCGTGTCTCCATCCGCCTATCTCTTCGTTAAAGTCTAGCGCCTTCTTTGCTCTCCTTAGGTGTTCCCTTCTGATTACAAATGCATCTGTTTTGACACTCCAGACATCCACATTATTCTCCACCAGTTTTAAATAATCTTGGTACATTTTAAAATTATGGTATTGTAATAATAGCTCTTTTATGTATATAAATCCGTTTCTTAAGGTGGCCCTATCCGATACAGTCAGACAGTAATATTTCTCCTCTAATTCCGTGTATACAGTTTTCCATGCATCTTCTTCTTCATCATCTTCTACTAATTCTGGTTTTTCTACAGATAACTTATTTATTCTACCTCCGACAAGTGTTTGATAATATAGTGCTTCCCGTAAACCATTAAAGGTATAACTTTTAGATGATATATTTGTACTCTTTTCCAGTAAACCGAAGTTTACATTCGCAATTAACTTTTTGGTTCTAATGTCCTCTGGTGCTCTGTCAGATATCTCGGTAGCCCACAGTTTATCAACAATCTTCTTGTAATCAACATTATAAACTCTAGAAGGTTCTTTATAATATAAGATTTTGCATTTTTTAAGTAAATGCTTTAAAAACTGTCCGTATACTAAGCAATAGGTTTTGTTGAAAAACATTGCCTCACCATTGCTCTTAACTAAGTATAAGGTCAGTGGGTGAAATGATTCTATTTTATATTCCTTCTTGTAGGGCTTCCACACATCAAATTGCGTAAACACTGGTATCTCGGTCATCTGATTAAATGCGTGTGTGAATGCCTTTCGGACATCTATCTCTACACAGGACTCTGTTGTAAAAAAGTATTTATCAAATTCTTGACGCTGTACAGAATATTTCTGATAATATTTATTTATCTCGCCTACTGGGTTTATGGTTTTACACTCCTTGAAGATTTGCATGTCTACCTCGTTGTAATAAGATTTATGCAAGGGGTTAAACAGTGCTTTGTTGAAATCGTACATTGCTTTAGACATTCTATTATAAATATTTTCTGTCCTGACACAGATAGAACCATCAATGGAATTTGTTACAAGGTTCTGCGTTTTGACCTTGTACTTAATGAGTCTTTTATTGATATAAAACCTAAAATTCAACTCAGACACGATGCAACCACTGAACTTAACCTGTGGTTCATAACCTGCCTGTTTGGATTCATAAAACAACTTCGTTAAATCATTTCCGTCATATATTAGGGTATATTGGTCTTCCTCTGTGTGTTTTCTGATATCGTCCAAAGATGCTATCATTTTACACTCAACTGGTGTGGACTTCTCATTTAAATGGTAATCCGACGAAGCCTTCACATAAATGTCATAATTGGAATTCTTCGGTAACATTTGCTTCAACGAACTTAAATTATCATTCACCGTGTAAATGTGGTTGTTCTTAATTATTGCATACAGTGTTTGTATGTGATGGTCTCGCTTCTCTGGGTCGTACTGATACACCAGATTGTTAAAAACGTCATATACCCTAACTTGAATCTTAAAATGTTCAAACACCTTGGTCATATCGTCAAGGCTAGCCCCGTTGGTTGTAAAATCATCTTCTGTTTTATTTATGAGTTTTAAAATGTTTTCTCTGGTTAGTTTGTTCTTCTCTCTCTTCTTGTCGCCCATAAGGGTATTTTTATAATAATCGGTTAAAGTATTAATCCAGCACAGGTTGTCTTGATAATGTTCAACTTTAATGGCTTCCTTTAGTGTCTCGTACTCTGGGTTCAAAGGAGTCTGAATATAATTATGATACATGCTCACATTAGTGGCGTCTCTAAGGTTCTCGCGCTTTGGATTAAAATCTGTATCACCGTCTACCCTATCAACTTCATATACTCTAATACAATCTACATAACTTACCAAAAAACCGAGGTATCCCATTATATACGGGTCTTTCTGTAAGTCCAATAGTAATTTTATGAAAAGCATCTTGTCGTAATTCCTAAACACTTTTCTACCAACAAGGTTTTCAACATACGATGTGGTGTTAACGCTTGCTGTTTGCCTTATAGCTTCTACTGTAATCAATGGTACTAAGGGCTTACCTGCTTTGTCATAAAATGCTGTTTTCTGTGTGTTGGATTCCGATTTGTATCTAAAAAACGCCACTGTCATTGAATAGTCATGCTTTTTTCTAGGGTTGGTTCTTCCAGTTCTCTTGTTTTCTTGCTTTGATTCCTCCATTCTTTCGCCTAGACTGGGTTTATCCTTATGCTTGTCATAAATCTTATCGTATTCTTTGTCTGCCTTTTCTTTGTCCTTTGGTGTCTTGGATGTGATAAATTTTCTTATTAAATTGTCGGCTGTTGTAAACTGAGCTATCTTGCGTTCAGAATATAAGTCTATGATGTTTCTGACTTTTTCCTTGGTTGCTTTGTTAAAGCGTTTTTTGTAATTGTCGTACACTGCTTCTAAAGCAGTGATATTTCTCTGTATAGCTTTGGTCATAAATTACAATATATATTAATTTTATAATAAAAATATTTCTTTAAATGTATTTTTCTGAAGACTTTTTTAGTAGACTGATTGAAAATCAAATAAGATTATAGTGTTAAGAAAAAGCACTTAAAGAAATATTATTTATATACATTAATAGTAAATGACAAAACCTGAAGATATGACAATGGAAGAAATCCGTGAACAACTGGCATTGTACAATAGGCTATATTATAATAAAAGGCGTGAAGACAAAGAATATTTAGATAAGAAAAGGGCTTCAAGAGATAAGTATCTGGAGAAGAAGAAGATGGAGAAATACATAGCCGAAAACGGTATAGATATAACAGTCGTGAAGTTGACACCAGAACAGAAGGCAGAAGCACTAGCAAGTAAAAAGAAAGGAACTAAATACACCATGAAAAACTGCAAGGTGATAACAGTGATTCCTGAGGAAGAGCCAGAAGAAGAGAAATAATAATATTTGTAAAAAATACTATTATTTTTCTTACTTATTTATATGAGCGAGAAGCAGAAAATAATTAATGATGTTTATTTTGATAGAAGCGGGTTCGGTTCTAAGGCTACCACGTTGAAAGATGCAAGGGCCAAAGATAAAACGATTACAATGGCTGATGTAGAGGATTTTTTCAAGAAAAATGTAGAAGAGAAAAGGAAACCAAGAGGTCAAAATAGTTTTGTAGCACCGCATCCGTATTTTGAGTTTCAACTTGATTTGTTTTTCATATCTAGCAACGACTTAGAAAACCAAAAGTTTAGAATAGGTTTAGTGCTTATTGACATATTCACTAAATATGCAACTGTCATACCAATAAAAAGCAAACAGCCACCAGATGTTTTGGCAGGTCTCATGGAAGGATTAAACAAAATGGATAAGAAACCACGCATGTTATATTCAGATGAGGAAGGCAGTTTATACAGTAAACCCATAATAGAGTATCTGGAGGACGAAAAAATTGAGATTCATAGAACTCGTGGACATCCAGCGTTTGCAGAACGCTTCATTAAAACCTACAAAGATAAGTTATTCAAGCGTGTTGAAGCAGATAAGAAGAAAGGTAGAGAAAATATTCAATGGACTGACTATAACTTGGAAATACTGTTGACATATAATAATAAAGATATACATTCATCCCATAATCTGACTCCAAGGGACGCACGTTTACCAAAAAATGAGTTGAAAGTAAAACTGATTTTAAGCATAAACGCAAAGCGTAGCAGAACATACCCTGAGATAGATGAAGGCGACAACGTCAAGATAATGAGAAAGAAAGGTATAAGCGAGAAAGAACATACATCACACTGGAATAAAACAATCCATAAAGTCACTAAGATTGAGAAGAAACTAGGACAAAAATATTATCATTTGGACGATGAGAATAGGTCATACTTGCGACATGAGTTGTTGAAGGTTTCTTAAGAAAACACACTTAAAGAAATAGCAACTTAGTATATTAACATAAAAATACTAAGCAAATACTATTAAAATATTCATGTTACTCGTGTTTTGTACTCCCTAAACCCTAAATCTTCAGTACCTTAGATTTTTTATGTTGGTTTTTGACTGTTTTCTGGTTTTTTGGTTCACTAAAGTAAAACTACTATGCAAATACTATTAAAATATTGAGGTTATTTGTGTTTTGTATCTTTTCATACCCCTAAATCTTCAGTACCTTACTTTTCGTATTTTGGTTTTTGATTGTAAATATCTAATTCTTATTTACTGGAGTAAAAATACTAAGCAATTGCCATTAAAATATTAAGATTATTTGGTTTTTTATATTCTAATCATCAGATACGCGGGCTCTGCACGTGCGGTGTGCAGACTTTGCACGCGCGGCGTGCGGACTTTGCACGTGCGGCGCGCGGGGCTTGTACGTGCGGCGTGCGGACTTTGCACGTGCGGCGTGCGGGGCTTGTACGTGCGGCGTGCGGGGTTTGCACGTGCGGCATGCGGGGTTTGCACGTGCAGCGTGCGGACTTTATATAATTCTGATATACTGCATTCTATTTTGAACTGTTTTGGTGCAAAGTGCACCTGAGAATACATTCTTGTCGCAACATAAATGTATTCCAAGGAGAATACAAAATATTCCAAGGGAAATACGAAACAAAAAGGAACACGTAATTGTACATCAAATAACACATCAGTGCACCATGAGGCAGCACAATACGAAAGCAAGCTCAGGACATCTTTTTCACCAGGCATGTCAATCAGGGCCATCTTGTCTTTGGCGATTTTCGCGTGCAAGCTCGAAGCAAACTTGTAGAGCATATCTGTAGGATGCCATATGATGGCATGTGCTTTCTTATCGCGAATGAGCTTCGCAATCTCGCTCGGCTCATACGCAGTAGTATTAATGACTGCCCTAATGCCTGCGCCTGAGCTTTGAAGCAGCGCCTTCAAAATCTGCCGGCCGACCGGCTTTCCATCAAGCGTGAGACTCATGAAGTTCACCACGTCCTTGACGGCCATCTCTTGGAAACGCGTCTGGATGTCGCTCAGACTATCTCCCTTCCTCAGAGTTTGGATGAAATCGAAAGCGAGTCCAAAGCGAAAGTAAGAAACATGACTGCACAACCACAATGTGTTCAGAGAAGGCACTTCAGATCATTGCATGCATCCACCAAATCACCAGCGCGGAGGCCGCCTGATTGGAAGGCTACGCTTACCCAACAAAGCGATGCATGGAAAAAACAGCGTGACAGAAGCCTGAAGCATTCCATGCCAAAGCACACTTGTTAATGATTTCTGCCGCGTCCGACTTGTGATCGTGCTTCTCGAGCATCTCTGTCGCCTCTCCCTGGGTCATGTCGCCCACCCAGATGTCGAATCTGCGGCCGCCGGCATCAAACGCCTGAGCCGAGGCAGCAGACGAGGCGACCACCACAGCCTCACATGCACTAAGACAAGGATAAGCGGGAATCAACAAGGAAACAGACTTGCTTCCATGGACTGACTATAATGCGCAGGGACATGTGCCGGTGCATTGTAGCTCGAATCACTCGACATGTCCTTCGCCGCGGTGGAGACCAAGTCCATACCTCAGGGGAGCTGCTCGCAAACACTGCCTCCCAGTCAACAAGTGCACACAGGCCTCCTTTGGCGCTTCGAGGAATGTCCAGAAGCAGGATGGGATATTGAGTCAGGTTGTTTGCATACTTCTTCTTCTGCAACTTGGTGCGGACACAACGAAGCACCTCACGAAACATGTTGGAGTCCTTCACGCCAAGCTCTTGGTACAGGACGGGCTTCCAATCTTCCACCTCGATCGTGAAGCCCCACACTCCGCGCACACCGCGCAAGGCCTCTTGCACGGCCACTGTCTTCCCGCATTTGTAGCGGCCACTCACGATGGTCGCATGCTCCTCCTGCTTCCAGTTCTGAACGCGGTTCTTGATGGCTGTCATGGTCTCGCGGTGAACAACTTTGCTCTTCGGCCTTGGCGGCCGATAGAGCGCCATGAACTTCTTTACGGCCAAACGCTTCATGCGAAAGTCCGAGGAGGCGTACGAGACCACAAAGCCTGCAGCAGACACCACAAAGCCTGCAAGAGCCAGGGAAAAGTCTCGTATGTCGCGAATGTCAACTGTCTTGTTGGACTGAGCATGCATTGCCCATTGTATCACAGCTCGAAGCTGCGGCAACGCTTTCAGTTTGGTCGGTGGCGCGCTGAGCCGCCTCCCGCAACTCACTGGCATTGCCTTGCTCGCCACTGTTTTGACAAGAATTTTGAACAAGCAGCTCTAAGAATCATGATTCCATCAAAGCGGCAGCACTGCGTCCAATGAACTGGTTTCCTCCACCGTGATTCGCTGTGCCACTGACTGTGGATGCCTTTTGCGGAAAAGGCGGCTACAAGCAAGCACACACACACACAAAGCTTCTGAAACTCCCCGGCCTGTGGCAACAGGATGAAGTCTGTCGGCGCCAAGCAGAAACAAGCTGCTGCACAAATCACGCAAAACAATGGCAAACTTCCTTTGCGGCGTCGCATGGCCATCGCTGCAGGGCAGGAGATGCACAAAAACATCAGAAGTTCTCCGTGCGTTGGGATTAGAAGATAATACCCCAACTTCTTAAACGTGGCAACCCCCTTGGAAAGAGGTGAATGTCAACAAAGCCTGTGTCCAACACTTTCTGAAAACATCATGCGACAAAGACATTCCAACTGCATTCGCCCACAAGCCCTATCAGCCCCGGCATTTTGGAACGAACAACCAACTACCCTACTATGCCCCATAAATTGAATAAACCTAACCTTGCCCAGTTTCGGATGTTACATCACCTGATAAATAGGATGAGATAGAGTATTTTAAGGATAATGGGCTACTAGTTGTGATTATATGGCTACGGTGATGTAATACCCCAAAACGGGCGACCCCATTACCTTGTCCATTTTGGATAATTGCACCTTATTTTCTATATGATAAAGTGTTTTAGGATGTTATGGCTATGATCTGGGCCACGGTGGTGCAATTACCCAAAATGGGCAAGGCCTTCCCTGACTCTTAGACGGGGGCTCCCCGGGCCGAGACCGACGCGCCTTCTGTCACCTCTGCACTGCCCTGCGGACTGCCCTCGGGGGACCGTTACGTTACATTGCAGTCATTAGCTCTGGCCTCTACAGCACCACAGCCCAATTGTGGTAGCTCCCCGTCCTACGCTCCGAATCGCGGCCTGGAGCTGTTGTGACTGTTGTGTTTGTGTTTGCATGGGGTCGGGACGTTAACGTGCTCCAGAATCATGGCGTCATCGTCCACCAGAATCACGGCGTCAGGCGTACCTTCTGCCAGATCAGCCATGTGTATGAAGTCTTGCCGGAAGTTTGTGGGCGAGACGGCGTTGGGCCTTCGGCAACTGGAGGCCTCTCACCGGACCGGCCAGTGCAGCTCAGAGAACCACGCCTCGACTCCGTTCGCTTTTGTTGCTGTTTCCCCAGCGATCTCCGGGCGCCTTTTGTTCAGCGACTTCGAGGATTGCCGGAAGATCCCTAGCGCAGCCTGGGAGCTGCTTGGCGAAGGGGTCTGCGCAAACTTTCTCTGGACGCAGGCGGGTGGAGTGTGACAAGCATGCACTGCATGGAGCCACTCGTTTTGTCTGTGGCTCCTTTCAGAAACTCTCTCCCCTTCACCCGCCGGCCTCCGACCCTCATCTCTCTTGCCACCCCCCCCCCCACCAACAAGCCGAGGCGCTCCGCACGGAGCTCTGCCCAGGCCTCGCCCAAGACTTTGCAGCAAGAGTCCATGACCAGCTCCTGGAAAAGAAGCCCCCAACCTGCTCCCCAAATGCAGAGAAAAGGCTCGGGTCCTTCAGACGCTTCAATACGCCTCGCCAGCAGCGCCTCCGAGCCCATGCCAGAAGAGAAACGGGGCAGGCAGCGGGATCGGCACGGTGCAGCTGTCAGTCCCAAACAGGGAAAAGCTGAGGCATCGACGCAAATCCACCTTCTGCAACCGGCCGCGATCCCGGGTGGCGCCCAAACGCTCACAAGTTTCGGGTTGTCGTGGGAAGCGATCGAAGTACAGGGTGGCAGAATGGGACTTCACGACAGTCTCTTCCGTGATTCTCGAACAAATCGGGATGGAAGTGGGCGTCCAAGTTGGACGCCAGGATCCTCTCGAAGCCCTGTTTCTTGAGGCCGCGGGCCTCGATGGAGTTCACGTTGCTCATCACAGCTCATAAGCACAACGCACATCCACCCATCCAATCCGTGCACTTCAAGTCCTGAAAGGGTCGGACGTCAATGCTCGCCCAACGCGATGCAACGGCCAAGCGACATAAAGAACACGCAAGATGCGATGACCAACCTGCCACAAGGCGACATCACGTCTGGAAACCCAGTGCAACCGTGGCAGCATCTGTCCCCAGACACTGTATAGGTAAAGCTTCTATACAAGACAATCTCATCAAAGCATTACGTCTCGGGGTGGGAGGACTGGCACCACTCAGAGAAGCAATGACACGGAAGCTGGCAACCAGCGTCCCCGCGGCAACTTTGCCGGCAGCATCCGGCAGCACGCTGGCAACGGCCCACATGGTAGCCGAGCTCTCCTGTTGCTTCCGAGCTAGCTCTTGCCGAAGAACGGCACCGCCTTTGGAGAGCGTCACCCAGGCCACAAGTGGCTCTTCCAGCTGGGCGGACTTCGCAGAAACCTCGGAGATGTTGACCACTCCAAGAAACCGACACCACCTTCGAGTCCCTGCTCTTGCATTCCCGGACTTTCACCGTCTGAACCAACTTGGCCCAGCCGGCCTGAACCGCTTCCTCCACCTTGCACCAAGACAGGAGAGATGACATGATCAACCCCCTCCCACAGGCATCGTCCCGTGCGACAGACGGCTGCAGCCGATATCAGCGACTGCCCGCCTTCCCGCTCCCGGCAGCCTTCCGCCCTTCGTGCGCCAGCATAGCTACGATCGTGTATCATGTCTGAAAAAAGGGCACGGTTAAGCTGCGGAAGAAACGATGCGACTCGATTTGCGGAACTTCGACGCTGCGCCGGCCCAGGAGCCGGGGATCGGATCCGCTGCCACGGCATCGCGGCTAAAGACCGCGGCAGTGGTCCCAGTGAGCGCCATGGAGCTCTGAGGCCGTCAGTGCTCGCGGCGCAGGACGTAGCGTCCTGCGCCCCGTCCCCGCGACAAATCTTTGCTTCAGGCACACCTCATGGGATGCCACCACGTCAACGCTGCCAAGTCAAAACCTGAGGGCTGCGAAAACAGTGGCATGTACATTGTTGTGCTTTTGCGGCGGGTAAACACAGGATAACGCGTCTGCACAGGCCCCAGTTCGCCAAGAATCCCCGAGGTCAAGAGTCAAGAGCGGAGCTAGCCGCTAGCCGTCCAGGCCTTGACACGGGCACCGCTTCTCGCACCATTGAAACAAGGAGCGAGGCGGAGGAGCTGCGACAGGCGACTGCAAAGCTGGGCACAGGAGCGGGGAGTTTGAATTGCGGGGAAGGGCCGGAAACGGCAGGATCCAAGCAGCCCATGACCGGCAACCCTCTGCGCAGGACGAACAAAACCTTTCGAAGCGGGTCCCAGTGCTTGTCACGTGCGGGACCAGCAAGTACAGATCCGAAAGCTGGTCTACTGAGCTGAGTCTGCGGCAGGCTCGGGCGAGCCTCACTTCAAGCCGGCATCGGGTGGTGGGGTGCCAGCGCCAGCGTGAGGGCTGCGAGATGGGAGGGCCGAGGCTCAGGCAGAGGCGGTGGCAAGCAGCAATTATTCACCTGGGCTGAGGCCTTCTTTGAGGCGGTGGCGTGCAGCACGGGCAGACCTCTTCTTACAATCGAGCCGCTTCAGATGCCTATCTCAACCGCTCTCTCGTGCAACGAAAGCACGTCTTGTTGCAGGTCCACAGACTGTTGGAAACCTCTGCCGGCATCTGCCAGCAAGGCAAGGGGCACGTGCCACGCAATTTTCGAGAAGAGCGGAACTGCGGAATTCTGGTCGCTCTAGACCTGTCGATGCTGCACTGGTCGGCGGCTCGACATGCAAGCTGTGGCCGTGCAGTCTTGGACACAACCTCAGCAGCGGCATGCATCAGGACCGCGTGCATCGACAAGCCCTTGCTTCAGGCACACGTCATGGGATGCCTCCACGTCGACCTGCTCGGCGAGCGTCATCGGAACGAAAAGGACTGCGAAACTCTGGTCGCTCTTGTGCAACAGCTGCACTGGTCGGCGGCTCGGTCTGCAAACTGTGGCTGTGATGTTCTGGAGGCGTGTCGTCAACACCGCTGGGCCAACTCCCAACCTCAGTTCTACTCGGCCGGAAGGAACTTTTAACTCGGGAGTAAGCAAAGCAATCGTTTTGCTTCCCTTCATCCTACTTCGAGGCGACTCAACAGATGATAAGGCAAGCCGCTACCGAAGCTGACGCGCGTGACGAAGGCCTCCTGTCGCGAGCAAGAGTACGTGTCCGCTACTCAAACAACGACACTAGAAGTGGAACGTAGTACAACACCTCCATCCAAGCCTTGACTGATCCCGGCTTCAGCTTCTTGCCACAAGCTAACTTTGCAGTGTGGCGTTCGGATCCCACGTGCAACTGGGACGGCAAAGAAATCAAGCCTTGCTGAACGCGCTGCCAGTCGCCACGCCGTTGCCGCGAAGCCTACTCCCTACCATCACGAATCTACAAGCACGATGAACCCCTGCCCACTGCGCTTAAGAAGTTTGATTGCGGGCATCTTCAGATCTGGATGTTGTCCTGCCTCCCCATGCTCTTCAGAAATCACAGCCGAAACAGCTTCGATACAGCGAACAATGCAGCTTCAAAATCTTGTAGCAGCCGATCCACAATCATGGGCAGCTGGTCCGACAAAGGCGATTTGCACACCCTGCCAGTTTACATCAGGCGAGGGCAGCGTTGGTCCACGGTCCGGTACTGGAAGCCGATCTCTTTCTTTGCGCCGCAGCCGTGGAACCATCATGAGCAATGCTTCCTTGTCTGACAATAGTCTATATAAGAGTCTCGACTCTAGATCCTAGAGAGAAGAACCACAAACCATCACCAACAAGCAGCTTGCCGGCAATTTCACGAAAACTACCGCAGCCAAGTCGGAAAGGATTTGGCATATTCATCTCACGAGAGCAGTCGACTCCACTACAACACCGAGTCGAGACTCATTAAGTGCAGTTTGATGAGCTTGTTATGTTGCAGACAGGACATCTCCTCGAGATGACCTCGAGCCTCCAGCTGCGTTTCGATATTTTCCCGGCATCCTCGAGCCTCATCACAACAAATCACAACATGCACCGTCAAAGGTTCCTTCACCCCGAGGTCAAAGCGTGTGCACCTCGGGGCGGGAATGCCAGAGTCATCACGATTCCGTCGGCGAGTCGGGCCGCAGAGATCCCCACATGATTGCAACGTGCCAACCCAGGCAAGTCAGATTGCATGCTGGAGTTGATTCGCATTCCCATGTTCCGGCAGTTCAATCGGCTGACGCGAACCTTGCCGGACTGCGCCCAGGAGGTCTTCTTCCGGGCTTGCGGCTCCGACAGCTGAGCCGAGATGGCCCGT